CGCATCAGGCTTCAGGCCTTCGGCCTAAAGCCAGATACACAACCACTTAACCTATGATGCTTCATGAGCTTGAGAATCTATAGCCCATTGCAATGTGCCTTTGGCTATATGTTTCAACAAAAAACAACTTATTATATACTATTTGGTTGCATTTCATTGAAAGTATCCACGGCCGGCTGACGGCTGGCTGCCCACAGTTTGCCACGGCTGTGGGCGGCTGTGGCTGTGGAGCCACGGCTGCGGGGCGGCTAGGCTGTGGAAAATTGCAGCCGTGCAGAACTCTACAGCACGAGCTATCTGCTCGGCTGGGGTGGCCGGGCTGAGCCCAGCACCTCCCAGCCGGCCGTCGGCGCTCCTATCGCCCGGACAGTAAATGGGAACGGCCGGCCGGATGACTGCCGAGATCAGCTGGACGACGGGCGGGCGACGGACGCGTGATCAACGGCGGCGACGGCGACGGAATGAAAGATACAGAGTCAGGAGCAATCAGACAGGGAGAATCCCAGTGGTTAGTGGATAACGTTACATCATTGTATTGACCGTCCAAACAAGGGCTCAGATGTGCCGTCTCAACCATCGGAAGTCATCGAGTCTCCCCGCTGAACCCGGCCATAGAGCCATGCAGCCGTCTCACAGTTCGTAGGCCGTGTGTGGGCGCCAAGCCGCTCGGCTCGCTCCACAGAGCCGCAGCGGGAATTGTCTGAATGAAACTGGCGCCATTCCGCCACTGTAGAACGACTTCAGCAGTTCAGCCAGTCAGCGGGCGCACGCGATCTGACTTATCTGACGATTAGGTTAACGGGCGGCCCGCCATGTGCCGACCATGTAACCCTGCAGGCCGGCGCCGGCCTGCAGGTCAGAAGAGGTCCATGCGCCGGGGCAGCTGCGGGTAATTTTAGGCCGGGCGTTTAGTTAGTCGGAGCCTGCGGTCGGTCGGTACAGCCGGGTCAGGAGGGGGGAGATGGGATGGGGACGGGGGGCGGGACTCCATCGGTCGCCGTCGCTGACGACACAGCCTGTCGGGCGACACAGACGAATGGCCGCGGGCAGCGTCCGGGTCGGGCCGGCAGAGGGACGGAGCTGCCACCAGTCCAGAGGAAGCCGGCGGCATAGCGACGGAGCTGCCACCAGCTCAGAGGAAGCCGGCGGCACCGGCTGGAGCCGGCAGAGACGGAGCTGCCACTAGCTGCTGGCCGGCGGCACCAGTTCAGAGGCGGCACCGGCACTGTCCTGGTCAGACGGAGCTGTCAGTGCGCCCACTGCCGACCGGCGCGGCGGCACCAGTTCAGAGGCGGCGCCGGCGGCACCGCGGCCCACTGACGCCCCGACCGGAACTCGACACAGCAGCGCCCACGGTCCGCCTTTGTTGTCTGAAACATCGCTTCCGGGCAGCGCTCATGACGCGCCGCTGGTCACACCGACGAGCTCGTATAGTTCTGTTCAAGGCCGTGGCTGGCAGATTTGGGAGGGAAGGCTGAAATATGCCAATGTCTGTGGGACCACCTTATAAATCTGAGAACGTCTAAGTGGGTCCTTAAGATTTTCATCCTGCACTTATCTTTCTAAGTTCTGACCATTTTATTTCATTGCAAAATAGTCATTTCCATGAGATAAAGTTAACGATACTTTTCAATGTCACTCATATTTTAGTTTACGAGCCAATCCGACAACCGACTTGGATTATTCTAGTCGGGCTATCAAAATCCTCTCCCCTCCATCGCGAAGGGTTCTGACCGGTATCGACCGGGGCAGCTCTCTGACCTTTCCCGTGTCCGGCGGTCGACCGATCCGGCCCATATCTGTGTCTGCCATTGACGGCCCCAAGCCTCGACAGGCCTCTCGTGGCCGCGGCCGGCAGTAAAAGCCAGCCTCTATCTGCCCAACTGCCCGGGTGAAGCACCATTCCATGGACAGAAGGGGAGCACAGGGAGCGGTCTGCGGCCTCCTCTCTGCTACTGCTGACCCCGGACCGAGTCGAACCGGTCCAAACGGCCGCGGCAGATCCCAGCCGGGCCGTTCTGCGCCCCGTGCACCGCTCGGTAGTAGCACTCTGACTGTGTTAGCGAGTGTTACCCCCTGCTCTGACCGTCCACCGCGCCCCAGCCCGCCGCGCCGGGTGCCTCCGCTCTGAGAACTGGCCAGCACGCGCCGCCGGCCGTGCAGACCATGCACCGGATGGCCGCGGGGGCCGGTACGGCCGAGCCGTGCCGTTATGATACGGCTGGACCGGCGTGCTGTGTGCCGGCTAACCGGGGGGCAGCTGTCGACAGGGCACCGGTAGGGGGGGGGGGGGTGGCATCTCGCCAAGGTGTTGTCGCCGCCGCCGCCGTCGCCAGCTGCCGATGCCAAGTCACACACAGAGGTCACGATTTGACCTGATCCCGGCTCGACGCGTCTCAGGCCGCCGCTGAAATACGGGGACACGGGCAGCTGGCCGGTAAAACACATTTAGCTCCTCTACCAGCGGCGACTAAACGTTACATCACAGATTGGTTTGGATTATGTGGGCTGACTGACGCGCACGAGCGATTCATTGTTGATAGAGCTTAAGTCTGTGTGCATTAGGACAACAGACCGAACAAATGTCGTACTAGGCAGTGTGTGACTTTCAGAGACTGTCGTTTAATCTAATGAAATCAGATTGAGAAACATCGCCTCCTGTAACGGTGCCGTTCCAACGGTCAGCCACATTAGACATATCTAACTGAGCAGGCACCAAAGATACGGGTAGATTAACTATTATGAACGGTTGCAAATAAGATTAAGTGGTCATATATTATCTGCTGCTAGTAATTCACTGCACAATTGCTGTCATCCTGATGTATGTATAATAGCATGCGAATAACAACATTGACTGATGACATCAGTGTTCTTGGCTACCGTTTACTAAAAATTAAAGCAAAAGAGAACGACACAGAACTTTGGGCAAAATGCCGCAAGCCTACACTCACTTTTAGCATGTTTTGTATCATTGCATTCAGCCTCAGATCTTTTTATTTCCAAACCCAGTAGGTATATCTGTCCTGAGGTAGTATCAATGAGCCATCAGCCAACAATAAATACAGCCTTCCGATATGGCGAACAACCTTTCAGTGTCCTTCTAAGGGTACCGCCAAGTAAAGGTCGCCCTATTCTGAATCACCTACTGTGTATAGATGTTATTAGGAGCCTTGCAAACTGCTGTTGACCAGTCCTGACAAATTGGCTTTGATCAGCAGATTGCTGAGCAAAGTAGCGAACAAGAGAGCTAGAGGTAGTACTGTGTAAAAAGGACCCGACCGAAGGGAGGGAAGGAGAGAGAGAGAGAGAGAGAGAGAGAGAGAGAGAGAGAGAGAGAGAGAGAGAGAGAGAGAGAGAGAGAGAGAGAGAGAGAGAGAGAGAGAGAGAGAGAGAGAGAGAGAGAGAGAGAGAGAGAGAGAGAGAGAGAGAGAGAGAGAGAAGAGGCTGAGAGGAAGAAGGGGGAGATGGAGAAAGACAGAGACAGAGGGACATTTATGATAAGACGTTTTATTTCTTATTGATCAGCAGGCAAGCGGGCATCATCTGTTCCATTTCGGCTGGAGCATCCCGCCTGCATGCTTGTCATCCTTCATGGTACAAGAAAACGTTCATGACAAAATATTCTACTTAGGTACTCGAGATCAACTATCCAATATGTTCGTTTCCATCGCTCGCTGTGTAATGGTGGTGTCTTACAACCGAACCCAGCCATCCGTTGATGTCACACTGACAAAACGGGACTGGTATAGCCGACGATAACTCCGCCTATCCAGGATCCTCCATCGTCTGCTGATGCGGTGGTCATCCTGTACGACACCGTCAATCGACATGTCTCTATTGCAAAACAGCCCGCCGGAGCCGCGCTGCGGCCGGCGCTGCGGCCAGCGCTGCGGTCGGCCCGAGTGTCATCATCAGCAAGTCAAACGGCGCCCGTCCTGCGGCGAAGCCTCTCCATCCTCCCCGCGCCGTGCACGCCCGCGCCGATCCCATTTCGCCGCACTGCGCCACAGATGCAGCCACTCTGTTCCGGTGGGGATGGTAATGGGGCGGTGGCGGGGCTGTCGACGGCGACGGAACAGGGCCGACGGCCGTCCATTTCGCGTCAGCGACTATGGTGGCCGGCCGTCACCGCTCAGCTACGACCGAGAATGGGAGAGAGACGACTGTCCGAACGGTCACCGGCACAGGAGAGCCGGTCACAGTTGGTCCGTCAATGGGTCAGTCACAGTCTGTTCCACAGCTGCATACAGTGGTCGACGAGCGGCTACCGTGACGCTGTGACATGTAAATGGGCTGCGGAGACTCCAAAATTATCGGAGTTCACCCCGGCACAGAGACACCTGCACCGGCGCGGAGGCGGTGGAGGGTTCGACATCCAACCGTGCACCACCGATTCTAGAAAGCCTGTCTGTCTGTTCCCTGCACCACTCAGCAGGGAGCCTGCCGGTCTGTCGGCTGGGAGGTCCGTCACAGATGACTGTCAGGGTCGCGAGTGGCAGGTCATCTCTCTTCGACTCCGAGTTTCGACTGGAGGATATCTCAAAGAGGTGGAAAGGGGACGGCTGTGGTTGTCCCTCTCGTGTTTTTTTTTTCTATTCTATGTATGTACAGATACTCTTCTTAATTCCTAGTCCACACAAGCTACATATGACCTGCAACCACTCATCGTTTCATGAATGGAGAGTGGCACGTAAAAATAAACTATGGTGGTTATTCCACTCCTTATGGACAAGCACCGATTCCTGCTCGTTCTTTATGTAAGCCCTTTGCTGCTGGAAAGCGTCTATTACGTACACTAAACACCATTCAAGCCTGTCATTGGCGACGTGGAAATTCCTGTACCGTTGTTCGCAGCCCACCGCCACCGACCCATCGCTCACGACCCGTGTTTGTTCGTGGCTGTAGTGCAAACCTCACGACGCTCGTTTCGATCGTTCCAGCATGCCTGTGCTGAACCCTTTACCCTGTGCATTCAATTTACCCCTGAGTAGTAAACCCACCTGCACACGAGTCCGGCCGGGCGCCTTGCCCACTAGCAGGTTGTCTCGCAGCGTGGCAAACTGCGGGTCGGCCACCCGCAGGTGACCTTTGACCAGGTCGGTGACCCGCAGCGAGGTCTTGCGGCCGGCCACGTACGACACGCGGCCCGAGTTGTCGTCCCGAGACACGAACTTGGCATACACCTGGAGATGGATGGTGGCCGGAGAGGGATGTCAACAGCGCGCTCCGCGAGCCGCAGCGGCCGCGCCGGAGCAGAGGCCGGATGTCAACACGCGCATTCCTGGGCGGGTGCAGCCACAGAGGGATACAAAGAAGACGGCAAGAACAATGGTGTTCAGAGGGAAGTTACCAGTCACGCTTCAATCACAAGGGCTGCTGTTTTATCTGCGTAAATAGCTCGTAGCTGAATACCTATCAAATTAGAGAGAGGGTGTATGTATTTCATTTCGTTTTATATAAGTACACATAGGTATTTGATTATGCTCCAAATAAAGACCAGTAAAAGCAAATATAAAAATTATTTCAATATCATCATCACTAACTTGGCAACAAGGCTCATGGGTTAGCACAATTCGTGTACGAATAACTCTCGTCAAACGTGACTTTCTTTATTTACTTTAACACTATCAGCAGTCAACCGGTGTGTGATCGGACCACCTCATTCGTTCCCAGCATGCCTTTGGAACAGCTTCAATGACAAAACCATACGTCGATATAGCATGTTCGCTGCCCGTCTGCAGTGCATATGGCCTGTCACCGTTTGACACCGTCATCTATCATTGTTCCGAGACCCTCCGCTGTGCAAACGTAAACATACACCGCGGCCGGCAGCGATAAAATGGGTCGGCAGCCACCCAGGGCGGTGCTAACTCGCGCCCGACGCCCGTATCGGTCATCATTATGTCAGTGTTCGATTCTCATCAGTTTCAGGACCTGTATCTGTCGGTCGAGTCTGTCTGGAGGCGGCGGCAAATGAGCGCAGCAGCCGCCGGCGGCTGCGGCGGCGCTGGCGCGACTAATACAATCAGAGACCTGTGTTACACGACCTGAGGTGACTGCTCAGACAGTGTGCCGATCGCCGCCAGACCGGCTCTGCCCGGCGGCGAGCGGCCGAGAGACGGACTGTCCGCGACCAGACAGCGCCGCCGTCCAACGGAACAAACAACAAAACGAAATCAACTAAAACCCTCTCCGGCCTCTCCTCTAGTTTGCTTTACGAGGGAGCCATTGTCACAGTCGCTGAAAAGTTTTCAACAACCTTATCCTTATTATTTCAATCATTTCTACAGTTTCGTTATAATTAGATTGCCTCTTCACACTGAATAAAGAAGAGCCCCGCTAGTTTTTCTCGTTTTTCGTCGACGCGTGCCCGAGGACGTGTGTGCGGGCTGTGTTTCTCTCACCTCGAGCGGCGTCTGCTGGTAGCGCACCTGGCACGTCGTCCTCTCGCTGGGGTAGGCCGCCGTCGGCGTGAAGAGCCTGCCGCCGGGTCACGGGTCATTACTGACGTCACCAGAGCCGGGTGGCGGTACCTGCTGTCGTCAGCGGTACCGGCCGCGGCAGAGGGGGGGGGGTGATCGGAGCGCGGTGGCTGCCGTGTCCGCGGTCATTAACGAGGTGTTAATGGAGTGGCAACGGCGACAGGATAGGACGACAAGATGGGACCGCTGCAGTGGGATGACACTGGGACAGTGTGGGACGGGATAGGGACGAGGCGGAAGGGAAGGAATTGGGACAGTGTGGGACGGAACGGGACGGGACGGGACGGCGCCGACCTCACCCACAGGACGTCGACGACGAATTGCATACACGTCACGGACTGTTGAACAGGAGCGGCGTTGAATGATTGGTTGCAGGAACTGAACTGGATAAATGGGGTGACGAAATGCTGATTGATGATCGCAAACTCAGTCTAGTAACAGCCGATCGAGCGGCGAGCAAAGAGACGCGAAGAAATAAAAAAGTAAAGTAGGCACTGGAATCTGGATGACATATTTACAATATAGAAGGCGGAGATGTCAAAATGAAAATAAATGTAGTTAGGTCCTAGCATTGAACGGCCCAGTGAATCGGACCGAATCATCAGAACGATGACGTCGGCAGGATAAACACAGCCGGCGCTGTTTTGAATCATGAATGCTTATGTTTCATCCTGCTTTTTTGTCTCAGCATACCTATCACCCAACAACGCATAGTTTTATGAAATCGAGTTTCTTGTTTGTTTGTTTTTTCTTTCAAATACCTTTTACTGCGAATTTGTTCAAGAAAATGTTGCCATTTCATTTCATCACATTTTTTATTAACTCAATCTGGTTCCACTCAGTCCTGGCTCTAGCCCCGCCACCCGTTCGCGGTCCAAAGCCTATCTGAGTCAGGTTGTTTTTTTTCTCTCCCTCGGATATGCCTGGGTGGCGGCCCGCGCCGCTGCCGATGTCCAGAGTGGCCATTGGGATTCCGGCGAGCGGCGGCGCCGGCCCGCCTGCCGCGGCCAGGAATGGCAAACAGTGTCCGTCTGCGTCACGGGGTGACACAGAACGTCACAGGACCGACAGGGTGACACAGAACGTCACAGGGCCACAGGGTGGGTGACACAGAACGTCACAGGACCGACGGGGTGACACAGAACGTCACAGGGCCACAGGGTGGGTGACACAGAACGTTACAGGACCGACGGGGTGACACAGTACGTCACAGGACCGACGGGGTGACACAGTACGTCACAGGGCCACAGGAAGTGACATGCAGTTCACCACAAGGTTGGTGAAAGACACGGCTCGTCACAGAATAGAGGATGAGCTGTCCCTGTGATCCATCGTAATTTAGGAAGAACGTGTTCTTAGGGGCAAGACATCATTCCTAACAGATAGACTGCTTCCTGAAGATCATCCCGTTCCGCATTGCTCACCTGCTGAGATCGTTGGGGTGTTTGCCGGCAGCCGGGGTGCGCACCTTCCACCCTCGGATCTCGCTCAGCTTTGGATCCGGGATCTCAATATCCAGCGGCTCCTCAGGAACCCAGACTCTGAAACTGAGGCGGGCCCAAGACCGGAGCGTCAGCGGCGCAGACAGCCAATCTCCGACATCTATTCATCAGCCGACGGAGCTCCGAAATCGCCGGGATTTCAGCGGGGACGCCGCCTGAAACGTCCTCTTATGCAGGCGGGGAATTGGCTCCGTGAGATCTAGAACGGCCTCCTGTGCCCGGTAGGTGGTCCGGGAGGCGACGGGAGAGCATCCCAGCCGCATTCGTGCTGAATTGAACAGCTAAATGGGATCAGCGCATATGCATTGTGCATAGAAGTTTTTTCCCAAAGGATAGCTATCCGAGCGTTTTTTTCCTTAGTGCCTTAGTCGAGTGGGCTGGCTTAGAGTTGGCTATGCTCGTCACGATCTGTCGGCGATTGACAAAGTAACTCAATGGCGACAGGCTCACGAACGGAGAGCTGCCGGGGGAATATCGAACCTCCTTTCCGGTGACCTTTTCTCAGGCGACCTCCAATAAGGCCGCGGAGAGGCGCAGCTGCTATAGGCGGCTCCCGGTACTTTATACCGAGCGAAGCCGCGTCTCGGCAGCTCGGTTAGTTTATAGGGACGTGTTCATCCCCAGCGGATCTATCGGTCGACAGATAGATGCCGGCCGTGAATCATCGGCGCCAATCTGGCCACCATATGTAGTTTGACATCGATATGTTACAGGGAGTATGCGATTTCAGTTAGTTTGCAACGACCCTAGGGTGGTTGTAACCTCCCTGAACGATCAGTTTGTTTGCAACGACCCTAGGGACGTTACAAAATAACTGCTCATTCCGGGACGTTGTAACGAAACTAGGGTCGTTGCAACCTCCCTAGTTAGTATGCAACGAACCTAGGGTTGTTACAAAATAACTAGGGAGTTTAAGAATTCATCGAGTTTCGTTTCACAGGAGGGCCGTCAACAATCTTGTCCAATGAAAATCTTGTTCAATCTAGCTCATTTAAAAAGAAAAGGGGAACAAAATTTGAACATTCAGCTCAGGAGTATTTCACGACGGCCATCTATAGTACACACTAGGGTGACCCGCGTGCTCCGCAACGCGAAAAGGGGGTATTTACGATCGGCGGCTGTTTGGTTGTTCTTGTGTCGGTTGGGTTATCTATCCATTTCGGTCGATTGCTTTTTGATATCTAAACGTTTTGGTTTGGAAAAAATATCCATCGGATCGAGGTGCCCGTGTTTGATAAGCATGCTTTCCACTTCAGAATCTGTCAAATGTGCTTTATAATTGAGGTGCGTAGTTTTAAGACAAATGAAAGGCGTAGATAATTTTCGCTAAAAATCGTTTTGCAGAGGTTTAAAACATTTATATTTTTAAGAATACTGTTGCTTGTCATGCAAACGTGATGATTGGATCTTGGAGAGAATTGAATGCTCTTTCTAATGATAGCTTTTTCAATTGTCAAGCGTATCAGGTTAAGCAGCAAATCCCGTGTATCTTTTTAGTGGCACATTATGGACAAATACCATTTTAATTCAGCGATTTTTTCCACATTGTTTTTGATCAATTAGCTGTCCACAATTTTTCCATGAGAGGCGGTACATTTCTCTTGGCAATTGACGTTGTTTCAACTCTCTTAGTCTGATGGTCACGGGAAAATAAAATAAAATCCAAAATGCGTTTAAAATGGCACTTTTTGAAATGAAATTGCCCTCACACTTGCACGTGGCGCGTGCCACCCCTGCACCGCACACTATTCGATTGCCCGTTCGATTCTCTACACGATGCTGTTTTCCCCGTGCCGATCGGGCGCACGGCTACCGAGATATTGCACGGGGAACGGACCCGTGTCGGGCAAATTTAGCTATTTTCGCCCGTTTTTGCCAGCCGATTTATACATGTAAAGTCTATGACGCGAATTTGCACTTTTTGGGCACGCGCCACGCGCTCGCTATCGATCCGATCGAGCCGAGACCGCTCAAAGGCACGTTGTCCATCCTTGTTCTATAACTTGCGCAAATTTCAGCGCGGTAGGTGCAACGGTGTGATCTGTAACCCGCGCTACGTAGCACCATGTCGCGACCTTCGTAATAGACAGAAACTACGCCCTCCTCAAATAGTAATATAGATAGACAAGCGGCTGCGCCACTTGCTTTGCTGCGTAGTAGGAAAAAATTGCGGCACCAGCCAATTTGCTTTCGAATGGTGTTTGATTCATGTCGATGTGTCGTCTAGAAGCATAGATATGGACGGAAATGTGAAGAGAATTAAAAAAGAACTGTTCTGAGGGCGTTGTTGGTTGAACTTTGGGTGATACGGGGTCAAGACGGGTCAAAGTGGTCAGCCCCGGTCGCTTTGGGTCAGGCCAGGTCACATAGGTCACCTCTCGTCCGCTGGGATCAGCCCGGGCCACTGTTCTACATACTTTTGCCTCCACCACTACCCCTACCACTACCCCTACCACTACCACTGCTCCTACCCCTACCCCTACCACTACATCTACCCCTACCCCTACCACTACTACTACCCATACTTCTACCCCTACCACTACCCCTACCCCTACCCCTACCACTACCCCTACCCATACTCCTACCCCTACCCTACCACTACCCCTACTACTACCCCTACTACTACCCCTACCCCTACTACTACTACTCCTACCACTACCCCTACCCCTACCCCTACCACTACCCTACCCCTACCCCTTACCCTACCAACACCGCTGGGTCATGTCAGGTCACAGAATAATTGGATCCAATCAGTACTAAAATATCAGACTTAAAGTGTTCCCAGCCCTGCCCCTCCATTCTATTACGCTTAATCGTATTTGTCGGAAATGACGCTTTGTGGCATATGTGGCGCATTGTGGCAAACGTGGCGCATTTTCACCCGGTGATTGAGCATGCATCTTTGCACCAAATTGCAACTTTAACAGACCATATTTGACAAAACTGTGCGATTCGCGGCAAAAATGACGCCCTGTGACCAATGTGATGCCTTGCGGCAAACGCGGTGCATTTGTAAATTCCTATCACAAACTGTACCCATTTAGCGACAATCAACACATTTTTTCGCCACTTTTCATTCAAATTAAAACCTGCCCATCCGCCAATGCGAGGCACCCGTCGCCGATCGGCATGCATTTAGTCCACAAAGTTCTTCGACCCCGGCTCTCAATGAAGATCTACCACTGCACCGAAGCGCTCCCATGTTAAACCAATGGAGACTTTGACGTTTTTCCAGCGCGCGCCACGCGCAAACCGTGCACCCCACCGACTGCAGACCCAGCAAAGGCACACGCCCGAAGCGTCGTCTACGCGGTGCGCAAGTTTCAGCCACCTCCTCGCAACCGTTTGACCTCCACGCGCCGATAACTGACCCCATGTCACCGAAAATTTCACCAAAACTGCGAACTGCAATATATTGGGGAGACCAAGTGCGGACACACAAACAGACAGACAGATGGATTCTGTTAGAATAGTAAGTTAGATTTTGTGCAGATAAGGTGCACATTTGGTGCAGATTTGTTCAAATTAGATGGACATTCGCCAGGAAGCCCTTCGTAAAAACGGCCATTATCCGCTCGTTTCCAGTCTTTTTGTGATCGTAAACGTTCAAACATGTGAAATGATGGTGGTCCCATGCATTATGGTGGGTGTCAAGGTCACGTGAATGTCAGGTCAAGGTCATTGACCTTTGATGACCTTAGTTCACTTCTTCTGGGCTCATATATTTTTAGGCTAGTTTTTCGAGCTGATTTCGAATTTAGCACCCATTTGAACATTTACGAAGTAGTTTTGGCGCCTTTCTACAATGTCACGAAGCTGTCAGTGTTGGTTGACACCTATTATGGACAGCTAGCAAGACGCCTACTGGTTGACCTGACCTGACCTAACCCGACCTGGCCTAAAAGCATCAAGACATCATCGGTGATCAAAGCTAACATGAAATTCGTGATCAGCGCCCCGAAAAACCTCGTATCAACTAACTCTCCAAAGTATGACCTGTTAAAGGTCATAGGTCCCGATTTACCCGACTTTTGAGTCACTGGCCTGACCTGGAAGGTCAACCAATAACTTAGCCCCGCCTTTTGCGTTTGCAGCTAGCAAAACACCAATAAGGGCGAGAGTTAACCCCGCAGGACCTGTTGGTTTTCTACATACGCGCCGGCCGGGGGAGGGCTGGTACGACCCCCTCGTCGTTTTTCGCCCCCGTTGAATTCAGAGCGTCGCGGAAAAAAATGAGCGTGTGTGCCGTTAGGAGACACAACAGCTAGTACCCGATTTTAAGGTCTCAGGTCAACTGGTGACCTCTGAGGTCGGGTCATGTGACCCAAGACACGGGTTCGGTTTTTTATCAATAACTTTTTTAAAAAACAGTTGCAGAGCGCGATTTTAGCATAAACGTGCTCGCCTTGCTCAGGCGTGTCGAATGGTATACTTTTTGTTCGGATGAGGTCAACTTGAGGTGTTGACCTCGGGTCAAGGTCAAGTTAGAGACCCCTAGGTCGTGAAATTGGTCAAAAGAGGTCATGTTGCATTTTATTCGATTCGGCAGGTCTTCCTCAGTCCATTGGCGGCTTGACCGACTCGCTAGCTCAGTTTGATCGGGAGTTATTGACGGAAAGCTCGTATGACCCTAGTGACGTCATAATCACGCAACGTCAACAATGCAAAATTGAAGCTTCTAACTTTTGCAAGGAGTGCATGAAATCACGATCCGTGTGCTTGCAATAGTTTGAGATTGCTCCCGGCGCCAGAATAGCAGTTTTCATTTTTCTCAATTGACTTATAGTGTTGAGGTCACGTGACCGACCTGACCTCATGTGATCTTTAGGAAAAATCCTAGAGGTACAAGTTGTGAGACTTCTACATAGGAGATGCACGTTCTGTAAGTTTCATCCCCTGTAAAAGCTCCTCTGGGACTGAGGGCGTTGCGAAGTTGCGGCATCTGAGGACCGTCCACTTATGACGTCATAGGTCAGTAACCTGACCTGACCTGAAAATTTGGTTGGTGTCACAAGATCCGGCTTGAATCAAAGGTCAGGTATGCCTAGTTTCAGCTCTCTGTTGCTGGCGTGTTCGGAGCTATCGCGAAAAAACTAGGGGGCGAGGATTAAGCTAGGCTGGTTTGGGTAAGTTTGGGTCAAGTAGTTATAGGCGTCCCACCCGCACCACCTATTTATAGCAGCTGTACCTAAACCACCAGTGACAACTTCGTAGCAAGTTGCATTGGCACCACAACTATACGTACTTCTCAAATGTCTCAACGAATGCTGGATTCGAAATAAGCTAAAAAAAATCCTTAAAATCGTACAATTTGGAACAGTTACCTGAAGTCACCAAACGTCAATGACCTTGACCTGGCCGACAACTGACAAGTCAACTTGAAACCCGTCATGATGCATGGGACAACCATCAGTTCATATGTTGGCACGTTTATATGTAATCACAATAGAAGTCTGGAAACTCAATTTAGTGTGCGCTAACATAAACGGCAAATCATTTCGGTCTGCCATGGTCTCAGAAATCAGATCAAAGGTCAAAGGTCATTGGTTTCAGGATCATGTACTGTAGGTATAGGGAATGTGTAACCAGTAACGTATATAAGTTCGAGGACACTCAAAGTTTCGTCACGATCGGCCGCTTTTAGCGCGAGATAATCGCGAAAAAAAACGAGGGGTTTTATCCGACCCGCACCCCTAAAAGTGTGAGGGATAACCCCCACACGGATAGCGACGGATATCCATCACACCTACCCCAGTAACTCTATTTTCCACATGTAAGCATATGCTGGCGATATAATGCAGCCAAAATTATCAGTTACGTAAGTACCTTGTCCCGGGCACCACATATACTCCTGAGCTGAATGTTCAAATTGTGTTCTCCTTTTCTCTTAAGCTGAACTAGATTGAACAAGATTTTCATTGGAAAAGATTGTTGACGGCCCTCCTGTGAAACGAGAATCGATGAATTCTTAAACTCCCTAGTTATTTTGTAACAACCCTAGGTTCGTTGCATACTAACTAGGGAGTTTGCAACGACCCTAGTTTCGTTACAACGTCCCGGAACGAGCAGTTATTTTGTAACGTCCCTAGGGTCGTTGCAAACAAACTAATCGTTCAGGGAGGTTACAACCACCCTAGGGTCGTTGCAAACTAACTGAAATCGCATACTCCCTGTAACAGATAGACATGGACAAGATCAGATCAGATCGACACCGTTACAGCTGAACGCGATCAATGCGACATCGAAAGAGCTGAGCGCGATCTATTTGACACCGATAGAGCTGAGCAACAAACATGGCCACAGAAAGTATATACAAATGAAAGGTTTATTCTAATAACCTACCGAGCGCCCCATTCCATCACACTTCGTTCCATCTGTCTCTTTCCCCACCTGGCGGAGCCAAAGTGGGTACCAGTTGGTGGCGTTCCATGGTTCCCCTGTCCATTTCCTCACCTGGCGGAGCCGTGGTAGGTGCCGTAGTCGACGATCACGGTCGCGTTCTGACTACCCCGGGCCTCCGAGCCGTCCAGGTAGACCGACGTGCACGAGGAGGACACCTGTAGGAGCGAGGTAAGGTCAGCAGGAGGACATGCGGTCAGCAGAAGGACATGGCGACACTGGACGGGGCACACTCAGTAAACGCTAGTAGTCAGACAGTGAGTATACACACGCGGACTCCGGCAAAAGCATCGCTCCTTGATTGTGCCGGCGGGACCGAATGGTCGCCAGAGTCTGCAGATAAACGCTCCCATGGAGAGGCGGGAGAAGTAGCACCGGCAATCTCGGTGTAATATAGCCGGACTCCGTGGGGTTCGCATCCGAGGAAAGTGCATCATTGCCACTAGAGTTGCTTTCGCGGAAAAGGTTTCCATAAGAGGTAATTTGTCTGCGTTGTTCTCTGACAGTGTGTCCATTGTCTGCTTCATCACGTCCATAGGATGACAATCGCTCAGAAAAGCGGTTAAACAAGCAATGTTATTAGCAACAAATCAAGTGAAAGTACGAATTATTTCTCCCTCATAGCATCACTATAAAGGGTCGCACATTATACCGATTGGTCGTTAAAAAAAATGAAACATCCTTTTATGAGTTTTGTCATAGCGTGCTCCATCGGTAGTGCTGTGCACAATAGTTTGAATAGCTGGAGTGATTGGTTGCCAAATGTTTCGTGTTTTAGCAGGGAAAATATCGTTCCACTTTAGTAATATCATGGATGAGATAACACATTACACAATCTCATTAGTATCTCATCCATGTTAATATCAAGTTGAAATGTCAAACTCAATATAACGGCATGCACACCGGCGCCCGCATCACAAGGTGCGAGACCGCACCACCCCCACCCTGGTCGCTCGCCAGTCGCCACCTTTCTCAATGCTTGTCATCGACCACACGTGGCGCCGAGACCCGCGGTGTGCCGTCGCTCATTCCCTGTCGCTGCCACCCCGGTCAGGCCGGGTGGCACCCCTCCCCCCCCCCGTGCCGGTGGCTAAAAATGCCCCCGGCGCTGGGCCTGGGGACAGGCGGCGGCGCCTCAGCTGCATGAATAATGCGCCCAGCGCCGGGTCATTAGTGAGGCAAAGACGTCCATCGACCGGGCGCGCGCCGCCTGCACCGCTGCCGTGCCGGCTGTACACGCCGCGGCGCCCGTCAACAGGCACGCACTCCCAGCGAGCGACCCAGGCAGGCCGGCCGGCGGCGCGGCGGGTCAGTGGGAGGGCGGCGGTGCCGTGGAGCTCCCGGGAGCCCCTCCGGTCTCCGGATGCCGTCTCCCCTTCAGAGGAGGAATGACGTTAGCGGCGCGGCCGATCGGGCGCGCCGGGAAGGGCGGCGGCCAACCCCGTGGGAGGCCGGAAGGAAGCCCGCCAAACCCATTCGTCATCAATCACCCTGCCGCTGACGCCTGAGGCGGCACCCGTGGCATGTAGTACAACCGCCACAGCCGCAGCATGTCACAACAAAACGCAACAGGCGACACACCGCGACAGACCCGGTCAGCGGCACAAACCGAGACCATCAGTTTGGTAGGTGCTCCCGGGTGGGCGGCATCGCGTGGCCGACGTCCATTCGGGCTGCGCTGCCGTCCACACTCGGGCGGTTGTTTATCCACTCGGTGGACACGCGTCGGCCGGCGGTGACGTGTGGAGAGCGCCGTGAGGTCCGACAGAGGCTCGCGCCGCCCCCGGGGAGCAGGTGTCGCTTCCAATAACGCTGGGACGGCCGCGGTGGTCGGCGCCGCGGTCCGCACCCCGCCGCCTTCAATCAGCGTCCCGCAGACGATACCCACAGGAGGCAGGCGCAGCTCCGTGCACAAGGCCAGAGATTAGAGGTGTCTTGCTTACAAGACAGGGTTGATCCAGTTGAAAACAAATGCAGTGAAGGGATTAATTATTAATTTGTTTACAGTAACAAAAGAAACCGGCACAGAGAAAAAGGACCAATCAAGGCAGGCACCTATTGACTTTAAAAATGTTACATTGGTGAGTAATGATCATGTAGGTAGTGCTCAGAGAAGAGCGTCATGAACTAGTAGAACAGTAGAACATCTCGTCGCGATAAGTATTACTGGGCAAATAAAAAGATCATAGATTCAGGCCGACAATCATCAAATAGTTTCTTGCAAAAAAATGCAGAGAAACAAGCAAACTCATTCTTCTTTCCAGCGCTTTTAGCCTAAGTTGTGTAATGTGTAGGCATAGCCGTGCGTTATTTTCAACACGGGCTTTTGCTCGCTGTGAAACGGGCTCTTCTCCGCTGGCCGGCGGTCAGTGGGCACGCTGTTGGAATTCTGCCGCCGCTCGCTGGGTCCGGGCCGGCCGCGCATTGCCGGATCATTGTCTGGGGCCAGACTGAGCCCGCGCGCCCAGAGGTCGCGTGGGCAGAACGCTTATGGAGCGAACGTGACCCACGGAGAACAGAGGAACTGAACGGGGGCAGGCAGCGGTCACGTGGGAACTGGCCCGCAGCGGACTGAGCAACGACGCGAGAAATACCGCGGCAGCTACTTATCACAGCGTGCTTTGGCTGCCACATGTCGGTTTAAAACCGCTATTCGGTGCTTAGCAAAAGCTGATTAAAGCAAAGAAAATGTCGGACCGTTTGTTTAAGCTATATTGCGGTCGGTAAGCTGCTTGGTCTTCATTTTGTTTTAAGCCTTTCACAAACAAATCCGTAACGTCTTTAAAACCACCTTGCATGCCACAGTTGTGGAAAAGAACAAATTAGTTCCTGTTTGTTTGCGTGAAAATACATTTACGTAGGCAGGGTAGCAACCTGGCTCTCAGACACGTAGAAAGCAATTAGAAACTTACGAGTTCTACTCATACGACACGCACAGTAGTTGGATACACAGTTCACCAATAAAAGCAGCGGAGTACCGTAAATGCTTGTGGTTAGGTATCTAAAGAATCAAGAGTGTAGATTTCTGATTATGTCAAAGGGTAGGCTATTTCTGTGAGAAATATGTATTGCCGCTGACCAACCACAATCATCATCATCAAAGAGCAGAAGACGGCGTCGGCAGATCCGGCTTAGAAGGCAAGCAACTTGGACTTGGCCGTAGTAAGATTGATATGTTGCACCTATTGTGAATACTCGGTTTGAACATCCCAGTCCAGGTCTACAGATAAAAGATGTGACCATTGAAATACGCACGTCATCTGATCGCTAGTGCTAGGATCGAATCGGAAACATCCATCACCTCAAATCCATCCATCTGATATCATCAGCTAATCCATGAAAGGGATAAATGAAGGTGACAGAGAGCCAACAATGACAGCCTATCTACTGAAAATTCTTTGACAGATAAGTCCGGCTCGTAGAACACCCCGCGGCATAGCCGAGGCTGAGCCGACGTTCCATTGTGGGGACTTTGGGCTGAGCTCCATCCATCAGTGCGAATTACGCTGCGCACTGCGACCGTCGGGCCGCGGCGGCGGGCGGGGACGGTCCCAGACCATTCCGCGGGCTGGTGAAGATTTACTACAGCGCCGCCGAGAGAGGAAATAAGCCGCCGCTCGCCAGTGAACACACAACTCTGTCGTGTTACTGCACACCGCGCCTCCATTATTTTCGGACGCCATTTAATTGCGTCCCAGAAAAGCTATTTCTGGCACCTAAAAGCTGACTCGCCCCAGAATTGGTCCTCAGCACCTATTTGGTGGATACCAGCACCAATCATGGAAAATGACCTTAATTAGCTGTTTCTGGCACCTATTCATCGGTACGCCTTACTCTTTTTTCTGAATCTGGCACCTAAATGCTGAGCGTAGCACCAATCTAGTAGAAAAATGAACTACTGGCTGGTAGAATCATGTTGTTCTGGTATAATGACCCCTGGAGTCTAGCCTAAAGGTTGCCAGTGCAGCTACACTCTAAGACAGCCCCGTAGTGATCTCAGCATTGTATATGACGTTTAAGTAAGCAAAAAATATTGATTTGTTTGAAAAAAACAATGTCATTTAAATATTTAAAAGCATTTATTTGTAATGCTTAAAGGGAAACATTTTTGTGAGTAATTGTCTCGATTTTGACCATTGAAATGGGTATTGTATTTTTTGACGTCATCAAATAGCTCCAAAAAAAGAAATGTAATGTTTTCATCCCGTTCAAGGCCGCTGAAGAAACGCGGGATCTTGCGTGGGACATTGTCCGTTGTTTGCCGCGCAGAGTTGTGCCGTGGTTGTGCCTTTTTCATCCGTTTCTTACTTATGTCATATGTGTGCATGAAGCTTTGATTTTGTTTTTGGTTATTGTGTGGCCGGTCAGTCAAACGCCCCGGTAGAAACCGGATGCTGCGTTTGATCGAGATGGAGTCAGACGATGATTGCAGAAAGCTAATAATATTGAAAAGAGGGCCGGTAGCGTGGCATGTCTGTTCAGAGTTTACATTTTGCTTTACTCCAGTTTATGACCTGAGAGCCTGGCTGGAAGTGACGGATCTAAACTTTTCACGTTAAAATGGCTGAGGGTGCAATAATCTCTAGTCTCTACATAGCGGGCTGGTATAGGTGCTATGCTGCACCATTATAACTGGCTAGTGATTCTCTTTTGGCTAGAAATGGCATTAATCATTATCTCCACTGGCGAAAATGGCACTTGACATCACCGAATGCAACGTCCATGTTTGTTAGGATACATAAAATCAGGAAGATTACGCGAATTAGGTAGGCAAACGTGGAATAAAATAGGTGCTGGATGTTTTGGTTTTGGTGCTGAATCAGCAAACAGCAAATACGGAGTTCAACTAGACGATCTGGCAACTTAAGGCTGTGTGGAAGCAATTAGGTGCCAGATTCAGATATTAGGGTCTAATAAGCATTTTGGGGCTGATCAGCAATTAGGTGCCAGAAACAGCTTTTTAGGGACCAGAAACAAATATTCCCCATTATTTTCTCGTAGGGAGAGAGAGAGAGAGAGAGAGAGAGAGAGAGAGAGAGAGAGAGAGAGAGAGAGAGAGAGAGAGAGAGAGAGAGAGAGAGAGAGAGAGGAGACAGAAAGAGAGAAAAAGAAAGAAAGAAAGAAAGAAAGAAAGAAAGAAAGAAAGAAAGAAAGAAAGAAAGAAAGAAAGAAAGAAAGAAAGAAAGAAAGAAAGAAAGAAAGAAAGAAAGCGAAATTGCATGCAAATGAAAAGAAACGAATGATAGGTACAAGAAAGATATGTTAGAACTGTATTTTTTACTTAGAAACAAAAGAGGACGTGGGCAGAACAGATAACAAATATTAAACATTTTAAACATTAAATATTAGATACAAACTGATCAACAAGTTGTGCTTTTTTGCTTATCGCTCATTTTATCGATGATGAATGTATTTCCTTTAAGCTGTGATCGCGTGGTTCCTTTCTTGCATTATTATTCTGCGCGAGGGACCACATTACAAACTGTGTCGATACAACTGACCCAACCTGATCGCACCGTTTCAAATATCGCCTATTCGTATTCCAGTTGCATTTCCAATTTGCATACCGGTATCTCAGTAGCCAGAAGCCAGACGGTGGATAGGAAGGTGGAACCGAAATTCGAACTACATATGGCTAGGTTTGCATTTTTCAAGTTAACGGGCAAGTTAACATTTTGCAAGCTCATTGGCAAAACGCCTCCAGCAGCAGTATGCATTAGAGTGTCGGCTACGTCCCACCTCCGCAGTTTCCCTTCCAAGCCATCCCCGGAGAGACGGCTCCACCCCACTGGCACCCACCTTGAGGACGCTCTCGTCGGTCGACTTGCAGGAGGACTTGAGTGTGACGTCGGCCACGTCTCCCGACTGGCTGACCATGAAGACGCGCAGCGGCTCGGTGACCTGGGCGCCCGTCAGCATGGCCGTGTTCACCAGGTCGGTTGTCTGCCGGACAGATAGATCAGAGGGTAGTGGTCAGAGGTCACAGGTCAGAGGTTACAGACCACAGGTCAGAGGGCAGATATCAGATATTGAGGATATGAGCTGAGAGGTCAATGAACTAAGTCGAAAATCAATCACTGAGTTTTGGTAAGGAATTTGGTTAATGCCGAATCGATGCCATATGTATAACCTGTTAATCTAGTCCAAAAGAAAGTACACATGTCTTAACGCCATTTTGTCATCTTCGGTTGCGTTGAAGCTTAGCTAATATCCTAATAATACGTTTCGCATTGCTTTTTTTGTTTGCAAGACTCCGCATGAAGGGCTCAACGCTATACCTAACCTCTGTTGACATATTGCCTGACTCGATGAGTAAATATGGTATGACAGTCATTTGAAGTTATTCTTGCGTGCAGAGTTGAACAATATCAATGTAACAACGCTAGACATATAACGCACTGGTAAATGCCGAACCTATTACCGTAATTTAGGCCACAGTGCCAGGAAAACAACGTCAATACATTGCTCGTATACGAACTCGGCGGCAAAAATGGATTGTCGGCCAACATTAGACACGACAGGGACAAAGCCAAAGGGACCACATAATTTTGCGATCGTCTACGAAATGCGTAATGCATGGTGACGACTACTCTATATTAGTAATACAGTGGTCTATGATGGTGACATGAAGCGATTCACTGACCCTAAATAAAACTTCAGTGACGACGATGTCATTACACGTTGGGGACGGGATTTAGCCTGCCAGGGATGTTTGCAGGCGAAAATGAGCATTTCATCCGCAATTACTGTAGATTAAATACTCGAAAGGGAAACCACAGGCTCTGCGAGAACGCTCAACGGAATGCTGGTGAGGTGATAATCCCTTTTGGAATGCCCGGCTCGGGGCTCCCAATTAGAACATTTACAGCCGGTTAGCAGCTCGGCCTGACATCAGCTCGGCCTCACTCCTTGTGTACGGCCCGACGTCCGGCAAAACACGGCAGCTCAGCAGTAAAACACGCCGGTCAAACAGAACACGGCCCTAATGCTACAAACAGCGCGCTACACACCGGCCACCTAACAACCGCAACGAGTCGCGGTAATGCCACATGTAAGGCCGTGCCAGATGCAGTCGTCAGCATCTACGCTTTTCCCCCAGTGCAAATTCGCATTTACTGAAAACGTTCTAAACACCGCACCACGACTTGCAACAAAATGGAAACAAATGACTGGTGAAATAAACAGTCAGCCTTTTGAATGAAAAATTAACAAACAGGACGAGGTCTAGTTTTGCCGCCTCACCTTGGCCATCGGCAGCACCATCTGTGTGTCGTCCTTCTGCAGGTTCAGCTGGGTGACAATCTTCCGCCGCGGGTGTCTGCGCTGGTCCCCGGCCGGGTCACCGTCCTGTGGCCGTCCTCCGGAGAGGTACTGCAGCCTCCAGATCACCTTGCCGCCCTCCCGCAGCTCCGGGTGCTCCTCCACGCGCAGCAGCAGCGTAAACACCTCGTACGCCCTGCGGAAGGACATGATGGCAGCGTTAACACCTCGCATGCCTTACGGAGCAGCAGGATGTGTGGACATCTTGTATGCTCTAAGGCAAAGCTGCACTCTCCAGGTAAGCGTGTCGGCCGAATTTTTATCAAACAAAAGTGTAAATCTTTTCATCATGAGCGACGCTTTTCGTCAACAAAATACAAAACCAACAACAAAAATACACACAAAGCCACACACAAATAGATCAGCGTCCCTCCCACTGTGAATTCGTCGTTCAAAGGGCGATCCGTCACCATATCGATCGCATCTGTCCAAACCTGTCGGTGTCTACGAAAACAGATGGCTGCCAAATAACGAACGGCCCGCGGACTTGTCAGTAATTAATGGCGACCGCTTCCGACCCGATTCGGACGTGAATTAATGACGCAGTCAATCTGGCTGCCGTTGGCGGTCGGCGCGTATCGGTCGGCGGCAGGTACGCGGCTCGGCCGGCCTCCGGTGACTGCATTCAGCTCCGCCGGCCGCAAAACATCGCCGCTCGGTTTGTATAGCCATTCACCGGGCGCAGAGCACCATACTGTGGCCTGCGCTCTGCCCGGCGGGACTTCAATCGAGTGTAAGTGGAGCATAATGGCACCGGGCGCTGTTTTTGCCCGCAGCTCAAGGAGACATACCGAGTGCAGATGATCAGATTGATGCGGGCACAGCGGCACCTTGACCTGATGTATGTACGTACGAACGATCAGATAGCGTCGCTACCTGGTAATGTGTGATTGGCACACACAGCCACACACGGCGCCAGTGCACAGTGGGATATAGGAGCAGGGTATGGCTCCCCGCAGCCGCCACAGAGCGGGCTCACCCCCAGACTTCCCTGCAGTGGATGTTACCACACCATCTGCCCCAGCCACCGACCTGTAGAGCAGCAGCTACTCAGCGCAACACCGACCCAGAGCGGGTCAGAACAAAAACGACCCGCCCGCGAGTCCGGCGTCAGGCGGCTTAGCACCGCTCGGGGGCGGCGGGGGCGATGGAGATTGAGTGATGACGCTGTCAGGCCGGCGCGGCGGCAGCGCGTGCTCCCGATCCCACCCACTCGCTGTTCCCGGCCCTCCCCCACGCCCACTACAGTTGAGCCTCACTGAGCACCCCGTCAGCCGGAGAACAGGGACGGGAGCGGTTACATGGGACCTTTTGGACAGACAGAGACGGATTACTTCATATAAAAGGAAGCGAATTTTAGTGCCCTTAAATGCGTCGTTATAATTAAATCACATTCCTTGCTAGTTGCTATATTTGGTTAAGCTGCATGTGCATTTGTGCTGCAGTGCATCCAGGTCTTCTCTCCTCCTCTGCGGCCACTCCTGCCGTCGCTCAGATCACTCGTAATCCGATCGCCCTCCGATGCCCGATATCACCGCTGACCCTCCACTCGGAGGGGCGGGTACCCGGCTGAGGGCCGGCCATCCGATCGGCCACCCTCCCCCCTCTCCCTCCCCTCCCTCTCCCCTTCTCCACCAAACGGTAGCAGGCGGCGGTGGCGGCCCGCCTCACCGCCAGCACGTGCATAATCGATGGACCCTCCCCGCCCCCCCCCCCCCCGCCGCGCACTGAATACGACCGGCCACGCGCGCGGCGCTGTTTGTGGTACTCCGGAGTGAGTGGCGCGCTGGATGGGTAGGTAGGGGTGCGGGGTGTATGGAGTTCACCCCGGGTATATCACCGACCGGGCCGCTTTCATGGAGCGCAATCGACCGGAAACGGACAGTTAATCACGGCGGCGCTCCCTGTGTCCGTGTCCTCGTGCGTCCCCACAGCGCCGAGCAGACGAGAGGGACAGATGGCGGCTCTATTTATCACCGGAGAGCAAACACCCGCCGCCAGCCAGCCGAGTGGACACGGCTCCAGCGGGCAGCGTGACAGGATCGGGGAGAGGAGGCCACCCTCCAGACAAAACAACCAGCTCCGGTGGAGCGGTTATTAGTGGAATTGACGTATGCAATTTATTAGTTTGGTGCGAGTACATTTAGTACTTGCTGGCCAACGATATATTTATGATAATCGTGCGTGTGTTTGCAAACTAAATATGTCGGGAAAACTTATTCCGGGGCCTCGGTTACAATTAACAATCCGCTGATCCCTATCTGATAGCAGAACACCTTGATAACATCAATTGAAACATGAGTATAGGAATTAGGCAGCATAAAACGCGCCGGCGACTCGGCAAGACTACAAATAGTACGGTGGAATTCGCTCATTTACCAACGAAATTGCACGCTTTGTCAGGCGGATCCACCGTGAATATTATACCCGCTTTGCACGATGAAATTGCACGCGCATCAAATCACGATCGGGTGGCCAGCGAGCGGCCGCCCCGCCCGGCTATCAGGGTCAGTGCACGGTCACTGACCGGCGCATCGCAGCCCGCCCCACTGATCATCCCCCGACCGGAACGGAGATGACGCAGAAAAAAGGAATGACTAAATATTTGAACGAGGTAAAAAAATCAATACTTAGCAAAAAAAAAAAAGAAAATTATCGAATCAAAGACCCTTCTTAGTTGTTAAGATTTGACAAACTAACGTGGTAGCAATTAAGGCAATAGTTGTAAAGTTATTTTCACTAGTCCCTACATTGTTGCCTGTCTGCATGTAGGCATTGATATCAGTAACATCGACCTGGAGATTTGCTAAGTTTCGAAGTGTTACACCTGTATCGTCGAATGCTGTTGAATGATTTGCATGCGAGTCACGCTGTGCGCTGCTCATCCAGCCCGTCCAATGACCCCCGGAACATGGCTGATGCACGCCGCCGCCCTGACGCGGTAGATTGCCCATATCCAGGCTGATCGATGGCAATGGTCAATGCGAACATCGCACCTAATCACAGCCGTGGAAGCGGCGCTCAGCACGGCCGGCGGCGCTCCACACTCACCCGTCCGTGTTGGCCGGGTCCGTGACGGTTCTACCGTTCCACACTCACCCATCGGTGTTCGCCGGGTCTGTAACACTCACCCGTGTTCGATGACTCAATGACGGTTCAACACTCACCCGTCTGTATTGTACTGGATGAGTCCATGACGGCTCAACACTCACCCGTCTGTGTTGGATGATTCGGTGACGGCCGGCAGCGGGCCCTGCCGGCCGTACGCCGTCACGGTGACAGCTCCGCGCCGTTTGCTGGACGTGACGCTGATGTTCCAGCGTTCAGAGGCCAGCTCGGCGCCAAGTACCTGCAGGTCGTGACGCACGCGGGCCCTGCCGGCAGACAACGGAAGCGGAATTAGACACACGCAGAAGGCAGCAGTCATCAGACAGACGATACACGCAGACAGCTGAGAGTCGGACACATCAGACAGCGGTGTCAGACACACGAGCAGACGGCGGAGACAGTGAGACGACGGTGAGACAACGACGGCGTGGTCAGAGACATGCAGACTGCGACAGGGTCAGACAGCGCGGGCTGTGTCAGAGACACGAGCAGGCAACGGCGACGTTAGGCACCACATTCGTCCAAGACAGCCGCGCCATCCGCCAGTCACGGCCCATGCCCTCGGAAGCAGGCGGGACGCGGGGCTCACACACACTGCAGACGCGCATACTACGGGCCGTGCGCCGCGCGGCGGAGATGAGTGCAAGGGGAAGAAGAGAGGGCGGCGCCGGTTGCAGGGCGGAACCCAGACGAGCTAAGTGGTCGGGCGGCGCAGGGGTGGCGGCTAAATGGACGGGGTGCGAAGACAAGTGGGGCTGAATAAAAGAGGATGGAGATGAGTGCATAAACAGGGGACACTCCATTAGAAAGAGAAGAAAGGGATAGCCGCAGGAAGGAGAGAATGAAAAATAGGAATCTAGATGCGAAGTATAAGGAGGAGAGAGAAAGAGATATACAGGGAGAAAGAAAGAGGAGAGGGTGAGAGAGAGAGAGAGAGAGAGAGAGAGAGAGAGAGAGAGAGAGAGAGAGAGAGAGAGAGAGAGAAAGAGAGAGAGAGAGAGAGAGAGAGAGAGAGAGAGAGAGAGAGAGAGAGAGAGAGAGAGAGAGAGAGAGAGAGAGAGAGAGAGAGAGAGAAATGGGATGCATTGCATCACTATCTGTTCGAAAACAACCGCCATTTTGGTCGTCAACACATTCAGTTCACCTATTCAAGTTTGCTAATCGTGCCTATCAGATATGATAACGCCAGGTTGGGAAACCGGTCGGCGTCGTTGTATAACACCCTTCTTTGCCTAATTAGGTGAGCACCGAGTGTGATATTAAGTGACCCATGCAGAGTGTCACAATGGTGTCAGTGAGGCGAGGTGTGGGCACTTGAGGCACGGGCGGCCGGTCTCCAGGGTGGCCCATTTCAACTCGTCTCTGACGTAATCCACAGGCGGTCTGAGAAGTTATGGGCTCTGCGAGGAAAATTGTTAGATTGCCTAGTCACCAATGTCGAAAGCAACTAATCGCTCATGTATGTGTTCAATGTTCGTATTTTTCATATTCGTTCACATTCATCTAATTGTGAGACGCACCCACCCAAACAGCAATAATAGCATAGCAATAACAGCAATATCGAAATAACCTCGCATTGAAGTTATAAGAGAAACGACTTTGAGCCAGAGTGGGTTGACTATGAGAAACGATAATGAACTGATGTCGAATTCGTGATAACGAAATAAATAGACTGCCTGCAGGCTGCAACAATGCTCATAAAATATCATGTAATTATTTACGGTTGATTGCCCTTCTAGCGCAACTTCACGGAGTGCGCAATGCACAATTTCCATACCGCCTACCCTGCATGTTGTCAGGCCACTGCTCGCGGAGCCGCCGAGCGTATTAGTCAGCAGCCCTCGGGCACTGGGTCACGCCTACAATTGGTTTCACTTTCTGCACTTCACTGTCTGATGAGGTCATTGGTCACTTCTGGCAAGGGCAGTTAGTCGGCTGTGGCATGAACATGACTTGACCGTGCAATGTGCAATGAGCTGAGCGGGGTCACGAGGAAACTGCGCTGTCGTACATTGCCCAAAAATGGACTCTGTTGCATTTAGAACGATGAGAACAATGAGGCTTTCCAGTTTCCATGTCTTGAGACATGCGTAGTAACGTAGTTCAAATCGTCTTTTTAACTTTTATAAAATAAACCACAGATAACAGTAGTACTACTGTTATCTGTGAATAAACACAAGATCGTTGTGAGTGGCGAAAATCAATAGTAGTAGAAAGTAGACCGCAGCGTATTTGTGTTTAATAGAACGGGAATTCAGGATGTCTGCTGCGGGATTGAAGAGTGCGTCACCATTAGAAACGTTTTACATCTAAACAAGATTACTTGCCTGACATTGTGAACCATTGTTGATTGTTCTCTGACACAGCACTTTCTGTCGAATATTTACTTCAAACAGAATATCGTATAAGATCGTTTGAAGCATGGTCAGAAATATTTAAGCAGTGTTCGTCATTTTCCTTTTTCCCTTGCGAGGATGAAACCGGGTTTCTGTCTGAAGAGATTTGAAGTTGTGATGGAGGCGTAACTGGAAAACAAGCACACTCTCCCCTGTTTCCCAGTTATCTGCTGGATTCTGAGAGATTCACTTCAGTGGGTGGCCGACTGAATGCATTATTCGTTCGCTGTTCGACGCAATGCAGCAATGTAGTATCTTCAGCGAAATTAATTTCCCTCTTATCTAGTTAGGTGCACCTAACCAGTATTTCCTATTTTGAGCATCTGCGTCCGCCACCTGCCAGCCACCACAGGCATCGCCCACCACCCACCGTCCCGTCCCCACTGCCGTCCACCGCCCACCACCCACCGTCCCCACTGCCGTCCACCGCCCACCACCCACCCCGTCCCCACTGCCGTCCACCGCCCACCACCCACCGTCCCGTCCCCACTGCCGTCCACCGCCCACCACCCACCGTCCCCACTGCACTGCCGTCCACCGCCCTCCACCCACCACCCACCACCGACCACCGTACTGCGTCCGCCACCCACCGTTCTACGTCCCTCTACCGTTCGCCGTCGGCCGGTCCGAACGCCTGGCGGATTATCGACACGGCCGAACTGTCGAGTTACACCGGCTCCGTTTGGGAGCTGCGGCTGTCGAGTTCCACCGGCTCCGTTTCGGACGTGGGAACCAAACACCCCACCGGCACGGGCTCGGCATTGGCAACAGCTAACTGTTCCCTGTAACCTGGCGGTATCCGCGGCTGAACCGGCCAGCTCCAAATGTAGGCGGAGAGGAAATACGATGCCAGTGGACGTTGGTGTAATGCATCGGTAAAACCAGGGATGGTGGCCAAACGTTGAAATGTGAAAGCTTTAATATAGCCAGGAAGAATGGCTTGTTATCAACGAAAAGAGGCGAACACTGTGTTATTCTGCGCTAAGTTTCAATTGCAGATTCGCTGACAGTGTCATGCATATTGCATAAGGAAGTTCTTCTCTAGGCCATCTCGGTGCGAGGGGAGGTATGTCATCAGTCACGAGCAATAAGCAAGCCTCACTGTCACCCTTGTCGACATAATACCGCCTGCTGGAAATTTGTCAGCAGCGATAAGAACCATTGTCTTCAAATGCCTCGACAGCGTGCAGAAATCAATTTGCAATTCAGCGGCGTGCTGCACATGATTCATGAATGAAGACATGATTTGACACGACTGGTGAGCGATGATCGGCCGCCAGTGACGGCGAACACTGGCGCCAGATACGGCACCTATCGACTGGGCGGCGCCGGGCGCGACGCACCGCATACCTACCGTCTCCACCCGGCTATCGCAGAGTGGCGTGTGCTCAGAGTCCCGTCATAGACATATCGTCAGTCATGACCATTTACAGTCCCCATCAGCACGCACCGTTCGCACCTTCCAATTCTTCAGCACGCCACCAGCAGGTGCCGATTCCGTTCCTCATCGACGCATCACCATTAGCGTCACCGCCCCTCCCCCCTCACCACCACCCCCGCCGCCCCGGGCGGGGTGGCGGCACCGCCCCTCCACTACCGTCGCCACCGGCGGTACCGGCAGCGGCGGCAGCGGCGGCCCGCCCACACGGAGCGCAGTTTGTGAAGCCGCCACGTCGGCCCCATCGATTCCTCCATCGATTACAGCGCGAGTGCGTGGCCCGAGCGACGCCGACTGGAAACTGCCGATCGTCGACACTGACGCGATTAGACGCGTCCTCTTGGCACGCGCGCCGGCCAAATCACCCAATACTGCGCCCTTAATCACTGATCAGTGATCATATACCAGATCAATACTTTTACATTGCTTTTTGGAACACTTAGAAATGCTTGTGGCACAAAGATGATAACACCCAAGTTCCGCGTTGCTGGCACTGTAGTTGATGTGTCCACCGAGACTCATCAGGAGGCCGAATGTCGTGACCTTAGTGGACGGATAACGCACCCCTGGGAATGCGGTAATGGTGCTACGTTGGTCGTTACCTACACCTCATCTGAGCCTGCAGGCACGCGCCCAAAGAGGCCCCCGACACGTGCTGGCTGAGAGTTATCGAAATGGTAGCCGAGAGGTTCGTGGGAGTAATGAAACGAAACGCTGAGTGGCTGGTGTCGTCCCACTGTCATGCGGCTGTCAAGACATGACTGACGCTCATGGCAGTTAACTGTCAGGCTGACGGACGCCCGGGCGTCATTAGTGGGCTTCGCTGACGCCTCTGGGACAGCGAGAGATAATACGAGTATAGGCTGAGGCAGACGGCTGCTCGAGAAGTTTGTCGAACTCAAGGCCGCTGCTTGCCGAATGGTCATCACGCAGCATGAGGAAAAATATCAAATAAATGCTCATTTTGTTTCTATAATCTTCTCAATCTGTGTCGAACGAGGGCTTTAATTTAACTGAAGCCTCTTACCAAACTATTTTAAAACATTTCTGGCTTGGGCGATGGTTTCCAGCCGTCTCCATTTTCTGGGAATTTCTTAGCGGCTACCGTCAGCGTTTGGTTTTATCAGTGATGCCCGTCAAATATTTTGCCTACAGCCATCAGCGCCGGCGGGCTGAGTCCCCGGACTTTGAACGGCGCTGCCAAGTGCTGTGAAGTGAACAGTCCCTGGGAGCCGGTGGGGTGGGCGCCGGGCGACATTTCAGGAATAGCCGCGCGGCGTGCCAGCCGACTGGTGGTGCGTGCCGCCGCCGAGCCGCTCATGAGCCGCCGAGTTAGTAACTCGGCCCGTGGTCGAGTTAGTGAGTAACTCAGCCCGCGGTCGAGTAAGTAGCTTTGCCAGCGGCAGAGTTGGCAGCGCTCGACTCAGTCGCA